TACTGAAGAGATACTTGCCCTTCAAATGTTTGATTACTTAAACTAAGATGTTTCCATGGTAACTCTTGTATAATAAATTATTATAGTCTGTAAATAACAGTAAAATTTAGGAAAATTTTTTTTTTATGTAATTTTTATAATATTTCTTACAATATTCCAATAACTTTCAACCACACTATTCCCTGCATATATAAGTATATCCTGTGTTCACAACAGAAAAGTAAATTGGATATAAAATAGTTGTCGATATAGAGATATGAAACATCAGTTTTAAATAGAAGAGTACAAATTAGATACAAAGCTTCATTTGAAAATAGAATTACATCATTTTACCAATTTTTTTTATTATTTTGCATAGCAACCATGATAAGAGAAGACTGCAGGAGTAAGTAACATCGAAGACACAAACTGCAGTCTACAGTGATTTGCATCGGGCTACAAATGACAAGTTGACATTATTTTATAAAGAATTTAATTTGCCCCATGTTACCGATATAATATCACATTTCAATAACAAATTTCATTAAAAATTCAACACATAATTCAGAAATATTTGGGTCATTTTACCGTTCAGTGAAGTGTGCATACATTTAGGTCACTTGCAGGCACTATTGCTATGCAGTAAGTATCCAGTCGCTATGCAGTGAACAGTTTAAAATGGCGTCCACGCCACATTTCTGTCCAATTTTGTTATTGCCTGTTGTCAGATTGCTTTTGTCAGTAAATTTCACATGTGTATTAGCTGTAACACAAAAATGAACGTCTGTGCTTTCATGCAAGAGGAACATCTGCTTGAACACTCAAGTCAGATACTAATAAATGTTTCGGTCATTTCGACCTAATTAATAATATTTATCACAATATTTTGTTTCAAGAGGTCTAATAATTTTGATATTCGAATATGCTATGGCCTTTTGAATGGGTTTATCCGGTGAAAATCATGGTTTTAGAGAAAATGACAAAATTTCAAATTTTGGAACAGTTTCCATAGAAATCCTCGCAAAAGCATTATTTCATAGAAAAAAAAATAGTATTCCACAAATTCTACCAATAATTCACAAAAATCAGAATTACACAAATTGTTTTTATCACAATATGTCACTGAACAATATTTTCCCCATAGGAACCAATGTTAAATGATTCAAATATTGCTATTTTCATACAAAAAGTAGTTCCTTGGCCATATGTATTCATGTGATTTTGTGAACAAAAAAAACTAGTGTAAAAATCATTGAAATATGATTATCAATTCTAAAACCTGTAAATGATCTGAAGAGTCTGTATTAATGCTTTGAAGTACATTCCCCTGTATGCACAAATAAACAATTTGCAATAAGTAGTCGTTTAGATTGCAGGTGCTGACCTGTCATTGGTGATAGTCCTACGTAGTTTGACTTGAGCAAAGGGGTTACTTCTGCAAATGTAGAAAAAGTAAAAAAAGTCAGAGAGATTGTCAAATTAGCGTGTGATGATGACAACCACAGCATGTACAAATGTATGGAGTGTAATTTTATACATATGTGAGGTTTTTAGTTAGAGGAAGAAAAGTATTGAGAGCAACAAGTGTGTAA